TGAAGTAAGGTTGACTTGGAAAACACTATTAGAAGATATTTGAAGAAAAATATAATAAATATATCATAAATAGAAGAAAGTTATTAAGGATTAGATAAAAATAAAACGGCTAAAAAGCTAGGAGCATTAAAGCAATAAAAGTGATAGAAGTATTAGCAATAACATCTATACCAACTAGCAACTAGAAGTTAGGTGTAGGAATAATATAGATTATATCCATTTAAAGTTTTTTTATAAATTTTTGAGATTTTTTTTTCAAAAAAACAAAAAAAATAATAATTTAAATTTTATTTTTTAGCAACCATCTTGGATATTTAAGAGTATGTATGAGCTAAAAATAAATAATATTAATGAGATATTTTTTAAATCAATAACTTAGGCTAGTAAAAATATTACTCTAAAGATAAATCATGCATAGTTACCACACAAATTACAATAATTATATTTGATTAGTTTGTTAAAAATTGGAAGTGATGAAGATTAATTGGATGAAGATTAAGATGAATGAAGATTAATTGGATGAAGACTAAGATGGATGAAAATCAGTTGGATGAAAATCGTGATTGATGAAGATCTTCTTAAAATAGAGATTAGAATTTGAATAGCTACTAAGATATAAAAGGGAAATTTAAGAGCTTTTAATATATTTTTTTTAGTATTGTGTGGTAATTCAATTATGGTAAAAAAAAAATATGGATATCATTATAAAATAACCTAATAAAAATATTTAATAAAAAAATAAAGATAAATGATAGGAAGGTAGTATAAATTTTAATCTTAATACTATCTTTTATAAAAAAGACTTCTATTTACTTTATAAAGGCATAAATGCCTCAAATTAAAGTAAATAAAATTAATAAATAATATAGGCATCTTTAACAAAGATTTAACAACAGATTTAAGAAAATATTACCTCAAATTATCAAAAATTGATATCCAAAGAAGATTGGTTGTGAACCTAGATTGAAATCAGATCCTAAGGCCAAAATTGTATACCTATGGCAATTCCAAGGTTTTTTGTCAATCAAAGAGTGGCAATAGAAGGTAGACTTAAGATGATATTTGAAAGTTAGTTTTATGACAAATATTGCAATCTAGCAATATTTGTTGATTTGATTGAAGCAAAGATTTGTGAAAAAAATTTAGACTTAAATATTTATACAAAAGCTAAATTTTGGAGTAATTAAATAGTTCAATAAGAGAAAATCTTTGTTGAAAGATCAAAATTCAAATCAAAGAATGAGGGTGGCCAACAATTGAGTTGTTTTGGAAGCTTTTCTTATAAGTAGTAATTTTGATTCTTCTCAAATTTTGTATGCTTGTTAATTTCTTATTGATTAAAGTCTAAGTGAAATTTTAGTCAAGATCTACAATTAAATGAATATTTATTGAGATTTTAAATAGCTATAGTAATTAATTAAGATTTATTTGGAATATTCTTAGGATTAGTCAAAGATTTAGGATTTAATTATGGATTAGAATTTAATAAGGATTTGATTAGGATTTAGAATTTGATAAGAATTTCATTAGAATTTAATCCAAGATTTGATTAAGGCTCATTAATATTTTAATTAGGATTTAATTAGAAATTGATCTAGGATTTTATTCAAGTTTATTAGGATTTTAATTAGGATTTTGATTAAAATTTAATTAGGATTTGCTTTAAGATTTGATTAAAATACATTAAAATTTCAATTAGAATTAACTAGAATTGAATTAGGATTTATTTAGGATTTATTTAGAATTTTTATTTTTAATATTTTTTAGGATTTTTTGTTATTTTTTAAAATTATTTATAGTATTTTTTGATGGTATTATTATTATTTTTTAATATTTTATTCTTATATTTCTTTAGAATTTTTTTGTTATTTTTTTTTTAGATTAATTTATGACCTATTTGTGTTTCTTTTGTAACTTCTTTTAAATTTATTTAGGATTGGTTAAAGTTTGATTAAGGTTATTAAAGATTACTTAAAATTTATTTAAGGCCCTATTAGACTTGGTAGGATTATTGTTGCATTTCTACTTATCTTCCACAATTAGGTGTCTAATGTATTCTCAAGCAAGAATATACATAATACAACATCAGATTCTCATGTATGTTATTAATGTTTTGTGGACTATTATTGTTATAAGAATATACAAGATTTTTTTAGCCACAAAGGACTTAAGAGACCTATTTAAGATTAAAGTATATTATTTACATTATTATATATCTAATATTCCAATCTTTGATGTTGAAGGAAGAAAAATCCTATATTATTACATCTTATATTGTATGGGCAAGCTTAAATTAATCTAATATGTGGGTATTATAAATCAAGTTGTTGTAGGTAGGGATCTATGTCAAATCTAAGTAAAAAGGTGAGATTTGGTTGAAGATTTGGATTTTAGGGATTCAAGTTCAGAATTAATATTGAGCTAGGAATAGGACCTAAGGCACTATCTTACTCTTTTGAAGTTTTGAAGGATAGGTGGTTGCTACCACCTTTCGTAAAGATAGAAAAAACTTTTATTTTACAATAACCTATTGTATTGATAAAAAAAATAGATCAACTTGAATGATAGAATCAAAAATATCCATAGAGCGTTTGGGATTTTTACAAAGTATTTGCTTCTAAAAATACAAAGATGAGATAAGTCGACTAAAATCAAAATAAAAAATAAAAAACCTTATTATTAGTTGAGACAAAGAAATCTTCTTATTGACTAAAAATATATGTTATTCTTTAACAATAAAAAAAATTATGTTGCCTTTCCACAATGCACTAATTGTTCAATAATGAAGACAAAAACACTACCATGATTATAATTTATCCAAAAATTCTATTAGCTCAACTATTTAAGTTGTTGTAGTAAATAAGAATTATGTTTGCCAATAATACTTAAAAAACTTAAATGATTCCATTTTTATGTGTGTATTCTTCTTCTTCTTCTTCTTCTTCTTTTTTTTTTTTTTTTTTTTTTTTTTTTTGTTGCTTGGTCTACATTCTTTTCAGAGTGGTTGATTTTTTATTTAACAACTAAAAATAAAAATTTAATACCTTTTTTTTTTCCAACAAAATAGGTTTTCACTAGTTATATACATATAAACACACATACACACACACACACACATATATATATATATATATATATATATACAACATAAATGAAAGTACTTTAAAAATTAAAGTAATATATAATGTTATAAATTGGTAATAAAATCTTTATAAAATTTGATATATTCCTTTAAAATAATAAAAATTAAAATATAGCTCGACAAATGAATTATTAATTTTTATAAATAATATTTTAAATACAAAATAATTAACTTCTTTATATTTTATAATGTCTAATTTTATTTTGATCAATTTATTTTGACAATTCATCGACTATTTATAAAAAGTAGCAAGTTTTTAAAAATTTATAAAAATGGAACAATTTATAAAAATGATTTTATTGATTTTTTAGCTTCCATTATAAAATCCTGTTAAGATGCATACTTTTTTTTTTTTTAAATTACCTCTAAATTGTGATCCTAGTTAGTTACAAAGCTTCACCTACATAAACATCCACCAAAATGAATTCTTTGTTGAAATTCTTATCACGGATTTTTCTTCAGTTTTATTTTCATCATTATTATTTTTTCATTTTGATATGAATCTTTATTGTGTATATTCACAAAATATATATAGATATATAATAAAGTTTTGGCATAAGATTTATACATGTTATCAAAGTATACTTATGTAATTGTGAGTATTATTGTTTCTTCTAACATCAATTCATGAGCTTTGTTTTCTATGTAAAGATCTTTTCACATGATATATTCAAATTTTGAAGGTTTTGAATTTACATTCTAGTTTGTTCATTTTCTATTGGCCTCAAAACATCTCACTAACAATGTTTTATTGTTGGAAGTAGTTATTAGCACATTTGGTCTCTTTAATACCATTTTTAGATATAACAAAGGATCTAATAATGTTGTGAAGGATTTATTTTGTATTTGAATATTTTTATATAATTTAAATATATACTAAAAAAATCAATGTTTATTTGAGATTGATTTTTTATATATTTTCTATGTACGATTTTTTATAAGTTCTAAATAGTGTAGAAAAAATGAATATCCACAATAAATATTATAAAATAAATAAATACTCAAAAATAACTTCCTTATTTTTTTAAAAGTAGGGTATAATTTTTTCTATAAAAATACAATAACATATAACTTATGAACACAAACATGCATTACTATAGATAGAGTTGTGATACATTTTTTCTACAATTTGGTGTTGTACAACTTTTGAACCGATACTGAGAGATTTTTAGACTGAAAACAAATATGGGCACAAGCAAAACATGTTTGTTGCAATTCAATGGTTGGCAACAATATCTACAACTTAAAAAAAAAATCTATTAAAATACAAACATGAGGGGAAAAACAACTAACAAACAAAACAAAACACAAACAATCATACAAGAAGATGATCTCCACCCAATACAAAGGTACACTATTTTATTGCCAACCCGAGAAATGACCATGCATTGTTGCAGCTCCTTGGCCCATGAGGCAGCTCATAACTCCAATTCTAAAGCCTGCAACACTCAGATAATGGGAAAAAAGAAAAAGAAAAAAAGAAAAACGAAGTCCTTCACCGCTCCTCTTCGTCCATTCCTTTCTACTTCGGAAACACACACACAGAAAGAGAGAGAAAGAGAGCAAGCAAGAAGGAACATAAATCAATTACTTAATTAATTAATTGTATATATATATATATATAAACATCCATAAATACAAAAAGAATAAAAGAGAGAGAGAGAGAGAGAGAGCCCATTCCCCAGCTAGTGATGCACAGATGTGGGTTTCCTGTGTCCTGAAGCACAGTGTATGGTTTGATGTGTAACAATGTAGGATAGATTTTCATATACTCAGCTATGGTGTAGTCCAAGTCATTGATAGGGAATAATAACCGAGTCTGACAGTCACTGGAATTCTCTCACACAATACCCACAAATTGACTCATAGAAATTGGTGCTGGAGTCCAGCGTGGTTTAAACATTGCTCGAATCTCTGTTGTACAAATTGCTCCCCTAAATCTGGGATCCTTCTAGTTGGTGATTTCCAGAAGACTTGCTGTATGGGTTTGCATGTAGCAAGCACACTTCAGAGAGAAAGAGAAAGAGAGAGAAGAGCGACCGATGACAGCGGTGGCTGATCCGGAGACTCAACTTCCATATACAAAACTACTCTTCGGTAAGGTTACAGATGTACCGCTGACAACTGTAATAGAGGTATGAAATACTATTCGATTAGAATAACCTACTCTTCTTGCAATCCACTCAATACGACGCTTCCTACAAACAAACCTCCAGCGGTTGCCAAGCACACCAAACTGACGACATTCTGTGCTATGACGACGGCGGTGGAGCTGTCCGGGACGAGGATAGGAATGGCAATGCCCAACACAATGAAAGGAAGCGAGAGTGAAGCCAATGACGCAGGGCTGGTGGTCACGAAATTCTCCGCCAGGGTCAACAATCCGAGATCCTCTGCCTTCGACAGCAGCCCCAGCTTCTCAATCTGCGACAAGCTGACGCCCAGGCTTTCGGCTTTGCTGAGAAGCCCCGCTTTCTCCACCTGTGATAACAACTTCTTCTTCTCTAGCTTCTTCACGATGTCGACAGACTCCGTCTCGGTGTTCTCCGCAAACAGCCCCGCTCCGAACCATTGCTTGCTCCACGCATCATCATACGCGTTCACCTTCTTCTTAGGTGCCATAGCCCGCACCTGAAAGTGCTTCCGGGCCGGTGGGCACATCTTCTTGTCCCGCACCAGGCCATCGCCCAGCTTCTGCACAGAGCTGCAATTAGCCGAGAAGCTCAACGCCTGAATTCCACCCAAAGTTTGAGCAGTGGTTGCCATAGCTCAAATCCCACTGCAAAAACTCCGGTAAACACAGAAAAACGAAAAACACTTCACAGAAATTCACAACGCTGTCCAAAGAGATGAAGTTGAGTATAAGGGCAGGATTCGGTGGTGTAGGGGCTCCAAATCTGCACAACCAGTAGCCGAACATTGACTGCTGCGATAATGATTTGCATGGTTTTCCTCCATTTCCATTTCTGTTTGTGGTTGGATTTGATTCTCCATTTCCATGGGTGGGATCCAACGATGTCGATAGCCGGGTATATTAATCCAGAATAACAATGCCGGTCCTTCAAAAAGGTCATCGATCAAGGTATCTATATCGACAACAGGTCCAGTCGAAACCTAACCCTAATCTGTCTTCATGAGGTGGAGAGTCTGCCACTGTGTGTTTTCTTTTTGATCTTTCCCTGTGAGTTTTTCGCGTTTTGGAGCGGAGGATTTGTCACCATGCAGATCTTTGTGAAGACCCTGACGGGCAAGACCATCACTCTCGAGGTCGAGTCCTCTGATACTATCGACAATGTGAAGACGAAGATCCAGGACAAGGAGGGCATTCCGCCTGACCAGCAGAGGCTGATCTTCGCCGGCAAACAGCTCGAGGATGGCCGAACTCTTGCCGACTACAACATCCAGAAGGAGTCCACCTTGCACTTGGTGCTTCGTCTTCGGGGAGGTATCATCGAGCCCTCTTTGATGGCCCTGGCGCGCAAGTACAACCAGGAAAAAATGATCTGCCGGAAGTGAGTCCTCTGCTCTGTAGGGTTTACAGCTTTTATGCGCAATACAATCCGACTTCGTTTTACTGTTTGTTTTTTCTCTTCTCTCTCTTCTTCTCCTTCAAAGAATTGGAACAGCACTACTGTTATATTTTTTTTATTTTTTTATTCATTTGCTTTGTGGGCTAGCGAGCTTTTAACTCAATGGGACTTCTTCGGTACTATTGTTGTGTGATAGAAGTTTAGTGCCCACTCGTTTTATCCATGATTTGAAGGTGTTGTGTATTGTCTAGTTTGTTCTGAATGTACTTCTTGACCTCAAAATCAATGTCGGATGCCTGGTGGTGAGGAGTACCGTGATAGGGTTATTGAAATGGTAACTTCGTCATTGTGGTTGGATTTTGGGATTGATGGATTAGGGTTTTCTTGGTATTTGACAATGTTGATGCTGTAATTTTGTTAATAAAATTTGAGATTCTCGAGTCTTCCCTACTGAAAGTAGACGGTGTCTGCGTTTTAGTTTGATTTTCCTCGGACGTGATACATACGACGGTGGTTGTTATGTTTCCTGACGCATATCTTCGGATGATCAGGTGCTATGCCCGCCTACACCCCCGGGCTGTTAACTGCAGAAAGAAGAAATGTGGACACAGCAACCAGCTCCGCCCCAAGAAGAAGATCAAGTAGAGAGGTGACCACATGCCTTGGTGCGTAGGTTGCAGTACAAGCTCAAGTAAAGTGGTAGCCTTTGCTCTTACACTTGTACAGCTTGTTTGCTACAGTTGTAGTGCATCGCATTTTTTCTGTATGAGCATACACGTGATCACGTTTGTGATCGTTATCATTTTGTTGAACTGCGTCTACAAATTCTTGCTTCCTTAACCCTTTTCCAGCTACCAGAACGAATTTTGGGTTTCCCATATTCCTGTGGGGACGAGTGTTTGTAGATTATTGCGGCTAAGTGTCCATCCTATCCAATTCAGGATTCATTTTGTTCCAACTTGTCTTTGTCTGAAATTTAAATTTCTGTGTTGGGATTCGACTTATGAATTGATGTAGTAGTGCGAATCCATGTGTGACTACTTCTAGTGGACTTGCTCAACGACGAATCGACATAGTTTATTGACAGCAATCAGTGAATTGGTTAATCATAATTTAAAAGACTCGAATTTCTTCCAATCAAAAGTTTAATTCATATCCAAAGTCCAGTTTTTATACTTGAAGAGTATATCCAATTTTCTGTTCCTGTCTTACAACTGGATAGTTTTAGAAGTTTGTTTCTGGTTATTGTCAATTTCCTCCAATCATTCACCAATTAGGTAGCAATATCAACAAACAGTGTCATCGAGCTTATTTTAGCGCCTGGTGATGTTACAGAACTAAGTGTGCCTCTGCGTTGGATAAAAGTAGAGTATTTCATATGGTTGGAACAGTATATAACTTTCACTTACTTGCTCCACTCTGATTGAAAACATAATATTACATATCCGTGTGGAATTAACATGCAGGTCTTCATGGTTTCAGCCAAAATCATTTAAGTTCATCAAAGGTATTTCTGGTTTCTTTACGTTCAACATCCCACAACTGTTTGCTTCTTGTGTAGATTTGCTAGAAGTGGCTGTGACACATGGATTCCAAGCAACAAAAGGATTCAACATCAACAAAACCAGTCCATACAAAGAAGATTTTATCCTAGAGCAAAACCATTGGTTTACCAGAAACTCTTCGTCCCCCTGATTTCACATGTAAAGGCGGGACTGTAAATGTCTTCACCTTACAATTCATTTGGTAATTCAGTTCTGATTCACTTGAATAATATGAGAAAGAGCATTGGTGGATTTCAAGTTTGGTTTAGTTCTCCACCAGTTTTGAATCCACTTCCCACGACAGCTTGAAAACAATTGTAACATTCTCAAGCCCATCACATTTTCCTTGCCTTCAGAGGAGTCATTTTGGCATCTAACTCAACATCATGAACAATGTGAGAACTTTTCATCAACCAATATTTTTTGTGTAAATTTAATGTATTAAGAGTAACATTTGCAGAACATAACAGTATTTACAAATTTGTTTTGTTTATTAAGATTATTAGGTGAATATTGCTCTCACAATGTGTGGATTCTTCATGTTTGTACACAGATAAGTTAAAATGAGTGTTTTGTAGGTGAAATTGTACGTTATGGTGAACCAAAAATTGATGCTTGGCAAAGGATGTTACTGTTCTTCATTAATAAAATATGCAACTAAAATTTACCTATCATAAATTGATTTTTTTCAAAATGAAAAATTTATTTAATTAATTAATTTAAAGAAAAAAACTTCAAATTGTTCCATTTGGACATTTTATTTTTTTTCAATTTCAATCTGTTTATTCGTTGTTATAAAATTAAGATACGAATGAAGAATTCCATTTTTAATTCAATCATTTTTTAAAGTTTTACAAGGCTTCGAGCATGGTTCAATTTGCTAATTTTTTATTTTAAATTGTTTCTTAGTATCAAAAGTGAAAATAAATGTGATGTTCATATATGGAATGAGGAATCTGACTACTTGATAAGTCATTTGCTTTCAACAATCTACACTTACTGCCATCTAATTGCACATAATGACATGATTTATCAGATTGAAAAAAACACCAAAATGTGCTGACTATTATTTAGGAAATAAAATACAGAAAAGTAGACAAGAACAAATAGGATATATAGACAACACCTAAAATGAAAAAAAAAAAAAAAAAAAACAAAACAAAACAAAAAAAAAAACAACAAGTACTACTTGCATTCACTATAGTATTTTGCACAATATTTGTTTTTTTAAATAAAATAAAATAAACTCTTACATCTTAGTTTTATTATTTTATAGGTTAAAGTGATATCTAAATTTTTGTTTAGCTTGTGTTATATTGTGTAAGATCATTAGAAATTGTGCATTTTACCATACAAAACATATCAGCTGGATTTTTTGAGAGCCCTCATATTTCTAAATTTTTAATGTAAATCCATTACATTCTTTTAGTAATGATTGATTTTAATGGTGATTGTTTATTTCACTATATAACTCACTAAGTTTATTGTGTGAATTTAAACAGTGCTATTTCAGATTTGAATATTATTTTTATATCATTACATCCAATAATAATACAAAATCAGAACTTTAAAATACTTTTTTATCTTATAATTTATTTATGTTATGATTTTACCTATTAAGATATTATATCAGAGCTAAATTAATAATAATCTGCTACGTAATAAAGACAATTGGTTCTAATTTATTCAATCGGAAATCTTTAGAAGATAAATTGATTTAAAATATTATTTCATTGCAATTATTGTATAATACTTCAAAAAAAAAATGATTAAGAAGACAAAAAATAGATTATTATAATTTTATATTTTCAAAAAATATCATACTTTAATTAAATTAATAACATGAACTGCAAGATTTGAATCTTTATCTGATAATTAATAGCCATAAAATCAGTATGATACTAAATTTATCTTAGGTGCATTACAATAATACCTGCTGGATAAAATTTGATATTTTTCAATTTAAAAACATGTACCATAAAATCTACACCTGTAAATATAAAAATCATCATCATCATCATCATCATCATATATATATATATATATACATATACATATATGTGTGTGTGTGTATATGGATAGATGAAAATAAGTAATTTAAGATTTGTATAAAATTAATATATGATGTAAGATTTAAATATAAAACAGCATAATAATTATTAGCTTTTTTTAATATATATACACACACGCATATATATATATATATATATATATATCATGAATTATGTAATTTGGATAAAAGAACATTCTCATGGAGTATTTGCATCTAAAATGTATTAATTTCATTTGTTTTATTTGTAGTCTTTGATATACACATGTTCTGTAAAGTGCTCACATGCATTATTTTTTATTATTATTATAAATTATATTAAAGTTTTGTTATTTTTTTAAAATAATTTTATTTTTAAAATATATATATATTTAAATTTTAAATAAGATATATATATATATATATTTAAAACAGTTGTAAATTATTTTATAAAAGTCTTTAATTGCTTTTCTATTACATTAGATAGATTTAAATATTCTATTTGTGCTTGTTAATATTTATTTATAACTATATATAACTTTGAAAGTTTTATGTTAAATTAGTGAAAATTTTATTAAATAAAGAATATCAACTCTAAAATTGTGATAGTTGAAACAACTTGTTTTAATAAATTTACAAACATTTATTACATCTTATATCAATTTAATGCATATATTTAATATATGGATTTAATAGATAGACATTTTTTTACAAAATAGTATGAGTATAATATAAAAAAATTCCTACTATATATATATATATATATATATATATGACTTATAATTTTGTCTTATAATGTGGAAGTAAAGTTGTGTTTGTATATTTTGATGGTGAAGACATTATTCATCTTACAAACACCTTTAAGTGATGCTATATTTTGCTTTAAAATCATCTATACTAAAGTTCTAATTTCATTCATAAAAAATTTAATTAATTTACACAAGATTTTAAATTCAACTTCACAAAAACTTCACTTAAAGTTTACATAGTTTCTTATCTAATAAGATTGCTTGCTCATCTTTCTAAGATTTTATTTGTATCTCAGCTCAACATAATAAATATTAAAAGCATGTGTTGTTGAAAAAATAAATAAGATTAGAAAATTCAAAGGATTTTGTTTTTAGATTTTTAGAAGATAAAAGACTTAATTTTATTTAAATATTTCACTAAGAAAAGAAACAAAAATATATATTATTATTATATTTAAAAATTATGAATAGATTTAATAATTTTAATTTAAATATTGCTCTTATTTTATTAAAGATTTATTAAATATTAAATATTATTCAATTTATTAGGAAAAATATATTTAAAGTAATTATATTTTATTCAATTTTTAAATAATTTTTTATATTTAATTTTAAATATTAACTAACATCATAATTATAATATTCTTTAAGTATACAAAATATGAGGTACTATTTTTTATTTTTTTATTTATTTTTTGATGTTTTACATCTATCAATGATGTTACAATCATTATTGAATTTTATTCTTTAAAAAATATTTAATATTAAGCTATAAAGAACAATATATACATATATTTTTCTTTATAGAATAACTAATTTCAATTGATGTCATTTTGTCATGGACATACAAAATAACCTAGATAAGAAGTATTAAATAAATGGTAAATATAGATAAATTACAAAATATCTTGTAGCAAAGCTTCTTAAAAGCTTCATAGACGTAGATTTGACTTTAAATGTATTTGTAGTTGATTAATAGGTTAAAAACTTGGCCAATAAGTTAGCCTTGTATCACACATGTTAATAGCTTGTGGTACAAGCTAACATGTGGCACACATATAGGAAACTTATCTTGTAAGTTAGATATGTGTCTTGTAAATTGAACACATGTCAAAGGTCCTATAAAATATTGCCAAATAGCTCCTAGTTAGATAGTATATATGGAGAGAAGAGTAAAGCCTTCTTCACTATTGTCAATGTTTTTCTTATTTATAGTCTTATTTCAAGTTTTTTTTTTTTTTTTTTTTTTTTTTTTTTTATCTTTGACAATAGCTTTTCTAGTTAAAAATTATACTGTATTTGAGTAATTATCTAGTCCTTTTGAGTAATATAAGAGTATATTGATCTTTTGGTTCTTTAAGATCCATGTCTTTGATACATTTATATGGTCATTATCAAAAAAAAGCAAAATAAAAATATCAAATATATTCTTTTATATCTTTTATTATTATTATTATTATTATTATTTATTTTTTTCTCTTTTTTCTTTTTTTTTTCTTTTTTTTTCTTTGTAAAGAC